CGGGAAGAGACGCGAGGAAGCTGACCTGGCAGTATCGTATGTGCCGGATGGGGGAGGAGAGGTTGCCGAGAATTGTATGGGAGGCGAAGTGGGTAAACCAAAAGAGGGGTAGACAACCCACGTAATCGGTCAAGGTTGTAGAGGACGTATGGAAGGGGCTCGACATTGACGAAGATGAAACGCTGGAAACGGAGGGTCTACAGGGGTTCAAGGAGAAGATATCTGTTGCTTGTGCCGAGAGAGAAGAACAGAATCTGAGGGAAGAATCCAAGGGTAAGGAGGGTCTAGAAGTGTACGTAATGTTGAAGGAAGGAATAGGGTTCAAGGACTACCTACATGGACCAATGGATGCAGGAACAAAGCTTAAGGTCAAATTCAGGACCGGGGACATAGGCCTTCGAGAACGTCGACGAAGACATAGGACGGTAGACGAGGAAGACGACGAGTTCAAATGTGATTGCGGCTTCGAATGCGAAGACCGTGTTCATGTAGTCGCGGAATGTCCGTTGTACAAGAAGGAGAGGGAAGTGTACGTGACTGAGCTGGGAAAAATAGATGGAACGTACAGGGAGATGTTTGAGGCATGGAATAGAGAGGAAAGGACGGTAGCTGTAGTGGGGCATAGGAGGTGGGTTGAAAAGGCGGGAAGGGATATCGATAGGATAGACTACATGTAGGGAAGACATTTTTGAGCCACCTTTGGCTAAGTAGAAGGAACGATTGGCCATCGGTGATCGGTCCTGTGGGAACAATGGCTCCGTCCTCTCGAGGACGCGTGGTCAATGGTCTAACCGCTGAGACATGCAAAACATAAGAGTACGCCCCNAAATCCTAAACAGCGCGTACGTGCTATCAGTGCCTCAGCTGTTGTCCAAGAGACGATAGAAATACAAGCAACTATCCATGCAAACAGCTCCCCTGCCGCAACATTTTCCGAAACATGCAAATTTTGTGCCACCCTTCTCTCAATACCAATATCAATACGTAACAGCCCCCCAGCTGGAACATTTCCCCGAAACATACATACAGTTCTGCCTGCGTTTTCTTCCCCTCCTATGCAACCATCAGAAGATCGCAAAGCATCAAAGTGTATGAAACAGCCCCCCAGCTGGAACATTTCCCCGAAACATACATACAGTTCTGCCTGCGTTTTCTTCCCCTCCTATGCAACCATCAGAAGATCGCAAAGCATCAAAGTGTATGAAACAGCCCCCCAGCTGGAACATTTCCCCGAAACATACATACAGTTCTGCCTGCGTTTTCTTCCCCTCCTATGCAACCATCAGAAGATCGCAAAGCATCAAAGTGTATGAAACAGCCCCCCAGCTGAAACACGCCCTGCAAACACAAGAAAAACATGTGCGCATTCGCTAGTTTTGCGTCTGGAATCATGACAACATATTTCCTCCCCCCCTGACTCTTGACGCAAAACACAGCAGAACGAAGAAAACGCCAAGAAAATCATAACGAAACAAATCCAACTTGAACGGAACTCGACGAAAGCACTCTGCTCTGCTGGTACTGCGGCTAGAAACATGGTACAAATCCCCCCCGCATGGTTGTTGAAAGCAGTACAAACAGCAGTTCGACAGTTGTCATTGAATTTCGAATGTCACACAAATTCGGGTCCGCAACACAGCAAGTCAAAACCCAGAAAAAAATAAAACTCAACCACAAACAGGGATGCCGTACACATTAACGCATTGTCTCTCGGAGGCGATTCTTGGATGAATTTCTCGTCTTCGGCGCAACGGGGAGAAACCCGACATGGAACAACAAAAATAAAAACCAAAAGAACAGAAAAACGTAAAGTCAACATGCCAATGCCTCCACACAAAACCCAAACAAACTCGTTGATATTTCACGTTGTCTCCAATTTGGCGCAAATATGGTGAAGGCGTCGGTGCCACCATGTCCTCGCCCTGCTCGGTCGACTCGAGGGTGTCCACCGGAGCCAAATATCCGTCTTCCGCTTCGCCTTTACTCCCCAAATTACGCGGCGCCCGCCCCGCGTTAGCTTGCGCGTACGTCGCCGGGGCTCGCTGCAGGTGTGGCGCTGTGGGGGGCACGGGAGGGGTGGGCGGGGGGAAACAGACAAGGGCAAACTCTTCCCCCGCTCGCGCGCCCTCTCATCCCTTCTCAAACTGCTGCCGTTGCCGGTGGCGCCGCTCCCGCCGTCGCTGCTGCCGAAGCCGCCGCCGCCGCCGCCGCTGCTGCTGCGGCCGCTACCACCGTCACCGCTGTCGCCGTTGCCGCCCCCCCCGGAGCTCTGACCGAGGCCGCCACTCCAGCTGCCGCCGACGGAGCTCTGGCCGAAGCCACCACTGCGGTCGCCGCTCCTGATGACGCTGCTGCCGAGGACGGCGCTCTGGCCGAAGCCGTTCGCGCCGCCGCCGCCGCCGCCGCCGCCTCTCCCGGTGGTGCCGCTTGGTGCGAAGCATCACCCCCCGGCATGCGCCCATGCATCTNCACCGTCACCGCTGTCGCCGTTGCCGCCCCCCCCGGAGCTCTGACCGAGGCCGCCACTCCAGCTGCCGCCGACGGAGCTCTGGCCGAAGCCACCACTGCGGTCGCCGCTCCTGATGACGCTGCTGCCGAGGACGGCGCTCTGGCCGAAGCCGTTCGCGCCGCCGCCGCCGCCGCCGCCGCCTCTCCCGGTGGTGCCGCTTGGTGCGAAGCATCACCCCCCGGCATGCGCCCATGCATCTCTACCTCGATCGAACGGGAGGTCCACTCCCAGCGCGGGCCCCCTGGTCGCTCTCCTCCACCGGGACAGCTTCCCTCGTCAAAGGGATGCGTTGACGCTCCATGCCAGGCCGCGCCATCTCCGCCGTCGCCGCTGCTCCTGTCCTCCTTCCCACCGCTGTTGTGATCTCCCTCCTCACGCACCTCCTGCGCAAATAATCCTCCCGGGTCAAAAGGGTACGACGCGCCCCTCTCGAAACCGTAGATGCCGTCGTCTCCACCGCTGCTGCAGGTCAGGCCGCCGCTGTCGGCGCACGTGTCTTGACTGCCCGGCGCCAACGCGGAAATCTGGGACGCCGCTGCTACAGCTGTCCCCACCGCCGCTGTTGCCATCGCCGCCGCTGCTACCGTCTCGATGCCGGGCACCATCGCGGCCACCGAGGATGCCGCTGCTGCTGCTGTTCCCACCGCCGCCGTTTCCGTCGCAGCCACTGCCGTTGTCGCTCCATGCGGTGTTAGTCCTGCCGCCGTAGCTCTGGCCGAAGCCGCTGTTGCGGCCGCCGGTGCGGATGCCGTTCCACAAATCCCAACCGTTGAACATGGGGCAGCAGGACGGATCTCATCGACATGGTTTGCTGTGGGTGATGGCACAAGTGAGGCTGCTGGCTGCTGCTGCTGCTGCTGCTGCTGCTGCTGC